TGGCCTTTGAGCTTGTTTTGTACTGCAGCAACCCAGGTTTTGGCTCTAATTTTGCACAGTGATCAAAGCCACCTTTGCTAATAACACGGTGTGGAAAGTTCCATTCGGTTGCATAATCCCTGAACAAACAGTTCAGGTTGTAGCAATAACTGAAGACCACGTTTCTGCCGGAGAAGGTGGAAAAACATCCTTTGGACCTGCTCCACCATAATTGTCCTCTACAGACGTTCCAGCTTCAGGATTTAAATTTTGCTTTCTTCCCTCTCTGAGCCTGTGAGAATTTCTCTAGTTACCTCTGTGCAAAACTGAGGCCCTCTTTCTGTTACAGATCATTTGTTTGCTAACTGCCTGGCTTTTACTCTAAGTTGTGTTTTCTGCTTTGACACCGAATGTACAGGTGAGGAACTCATCACTGGAGTATTTATGAGGTCCACTTCATTCTTTGTTTTTGTGTATGAGCTCAATATTCGATGCTTATCTTTCCCAGTGAAATCTGGGTTTTTACCACAATAAATATATGCACAGTCTGCAAAGAGGGAAATACACAGTTTAGATCAGTACTGAATGGCTATAGTTCCAGGCATGCAGATTTTCATAATGCTCAAAAGAAGATAAAAATCCACATTTATTGGCGGTGGAATTAAAAATTGCAAAAAGAGACAAAAAAGAAGGTATTTTCTGTGTAATTCAGTGTTTTGTTATCCAGAAGTATAGAATATTTTTAGTTCTGATTGCCATTGATGTTTTAATTGGCATTGATTTGCCTCTCGGCTTTCCTAAAGGATATCTTGGGATTTTAAAATGCCAGCCCTTATTTGGTTTCTGTGTCCATGTTTTATTGAATCCTAGCATGAAGCTTTGGTCCATTTTCTTATCTTTTGGTTATTATGCTCGTCTTTGAACCTTGGGGAACTGTTTTTTGCCAGTTTTAGTTAGCCTACCACTGCCCTAGAAAAAGTAACTTTATTTCAAGTTGTGCTGTTTAAATACATACTCCTTCATGGTTCTAAGTAACACTTCGGATGGACTTGCGTGATTCCTTGTGCCTTACTCACTCTTCCTGAAGAGAAGTTTACCCCTCACATCTAGAAGCTAATAGTATAATCTGAGTGGGTAAAACAGACTATGCAGATTATACATGACATTACTACAAAAAAAAAATTCTTTAGTCTATAAAAGTGTATACAATATGCCTTCTGCTGTGCTGCAATTTTCTTAATGGCTTTGGAAGCAATCCATATTGGTTTTTATTTTCATAATGATTTTCTGATGCCGTTTCAATCATACGTGGATTCTTTTGGCAGCTGTGATTCTTGCTTATTTTTTGCTACTTTTGTTCCATCTCTTGTTTGTGGTTCCTTTCTACTGTCTGCTTGTTCGTAATGTCGCCTTTCAGAAGCTGGAATTACCAACTGGGGCGTTCGGTTTCCGCGTCTTGTTCCTGGCTACTTCCGACTCATCTATCCAGCTTTTCAGTCCAACAAACATTTCCTTTGTGTTTTGATCCTCTTTCGCAGGGGCAGTGCTTGACTCTTTCTTTACACTTGTGCTGTATTTTCTTTCTCTTAGAAGTAAGAGAGTGATTATTCTATTGGGCGTGATTAAGTAATATGCGCTGAAGATTTATTTCCCTATGTTAATATTAAAACAGTTTTGTTAGCACTGTAGTAAACCAAGTTATTGTAGTAAAATAACATACAAAGCTACATTAATACTAAACAGCATTTAAAATCTAAGCACTGAATGGCAAATACTTTCTCAGTCATTTTAAATTTTCATCTCTGGACAGAAACTAATTATCAAAACTCTCATATAAATAAATATAAATAAATACTTTGAAAAGTTAGAAGAATACTAAGAGTCATAATAACACTTTTTGGAAACTTACCTATATGCAGCTACTGTTAGACATTTGTTTCAGTAAGTTAAATGGGCATTTTGCTAATTTTCCAATTTAATTGTCCTTGAATATAAACGATGATTAGGTTCATTACTGTCCCTTTGGAAAGGAAATCTTGGCTTAGGAAGACTTGATCAGGAATAAACATTGGTATTCAGATGCAACGATTTCTAAGTGATTGTATGCCTCTAAAGATGCAATTCTTCAGTCATAAAAAGGAACTATCATTCCTAAGCTGGCATCGCTTCATTGTGTAAAGCTAAGCATATTTGTAGTATTTTTATATTTTGAATTTTCAAATGTACTCTTCAGTTGGCACTTTTTGAGTCTTGGGTATAAATGATACACATCACAGAAATATGTTCTATATGATGAGAGGCCAAGAATGTATGTTACTGTATTTCTCTGTTTCTGGAGAACCAGTTATGACAGGGCTAAATATCAGGATATCCTGCCCTTAGAGTTCATTGACAAAACAGGATAATGAAATGGAGAAAGCGTGAAAGAGAGAAAGATATGAGTGCATCACGGTAAAATGGAGGTCTAAGAAGAAACAGATGTTAACAATGGAAGAGTTAATAATTGGGCAAGTAGTTTTGGCCCTCCTTTGACAAGGCACCTATTCCTTATTGCAGGCTTAAGCTTAATTTTGTTGTTGAACAAATCTGGGCCCTAGCTTTTGCAGGAAAAGATTAGGACACTTTTTCAATGTTCCAGAAAACAAAGGCCAATTAGGTTTTTGCCTGACTATGTTAGTAGAAGAACAAGAAGTCAAATATAAAATATTTAATTCTTAACTGTAACAAAACCTTCTGAGAACTGTTGTTTCTCAGGTACCTTTAATGATTTACCCTGTTCTGTGGAATTCCCAGTTATTTGCCATTCTAGATGAGTCTAGAAGTGATCACAAAATGAGCTTACTATAGTCTTGCCCTCTTGTTGCTAAGTAGGCCATTGACTTTTTCTAGAAAGGACAACATAAACTCAAAGAAAAACAATTCATATAGAAGAGCTTGAAAGAAATGAATCCTGGCAGTTGCTTCTAATGTCTTTAATAGACTAGATCTTTCATGTTTCAATGGCTTACAAGTCCTAATCATCATGATTTTTTAAAATCTAATAACTGTGAACAGCTTGTGATTCACTATTATAAAACTAATGTCTCCCAGCAATAGCAACGTGACTGTGGACTTAGTCTAAGGTGGGAATCCTGCCAAAACCAATTATACTTTCTGTGTTATCCACTGGATCACCATTATATATTTGGAAATACCATCCCTTCTTTTCCCTCCAGCTCCTGAGAGACCAAACGCCCCAGAACAATTGCAAGCATTTGTCTTGAGACCAAGTCTAAATGCTTATTTTTTGCAAGTTTATATTACATGGCATAGGTGCCCTCTCACTTACCTTTAGAGGAATTTCACACAGAAAAGCACAGCAGTGAGATTCATCAGTGTACAACTGTGACACTGATCACTGCTGATGAAAATTTTTTTTAACCTGGATTAAAGTTGATCCTGATTTTCTGGCTGACCCACATAGCTTAATACTTGGTAATGTGTGTTATGTCCTTACTGTCAAGATTTGTGTTAGAAAGGGTTTTTAAGTGTTCAAGGCCAGGTTGGATGAGGCTTTGAGCAACCTGGTCTAATGGAAGGTGTCCCTGCCCATGGCAGGGATGTTGGAACTAGATGGTCTTTAAGGTCCCTTCCAACCAAGCCATTCTATGATTCTGTGGTCCAGGGGGCCCTGATTGAATTAAATGAGAGTTTATGTCTGTGTGGCAGGTTTCGTAATAATTTTAAAAATATAAAATGTTTTTGCTTTTATCATATTATTTGTTGGGATTGTCTACACATGTGTGTGGAATTCAGCTTTTAAGCTGCAGCTCCTATAAGTAGCTGGAGCTGCAGTGACTTGGCTTACCCAGCTAGAAGTGGTGCTTTTTACTTGTCTCTCACTTTGTGCAGGAGAGGAGATCAAAATGCCAATTTTACCCACCTTCCCCAGAAGAAGACACAGACATGTAAGGACTGATGATTTACCAGATGTAAAGATTTTTAAATGGAGAGCCGTTCACTGTGTTAATCCAGGAGAACTGTGTTTGATCAATAGACAGTAAGTAACTAGTGAAGAGAGGTGATACGAGTTTGTGCCGTCTCAGGGAGGATGTTCAGTTTGAAAGAACAGCAGTTGTCTTCTGAAGAGAGTGGACTGGATGTGTGTTTGTGTCGCTGAAGGGGTACAGAACTCCTTCACCCATTCAAGCACAGGCTGGGGGTATTAACAGGTCTGTCCCGTGGGTGGAAAGTGGAGTCCCACCTTTTACTCTGTCATGGGTTGACCCCAGCCAGCAGCCAGGCACTCACACAGCCATTCACTCGCCCCCCCATGTCCCCAGTGGGCAGAGGAGTGAATAGGAAGAGCAACAGTGAGAAAACTTGTGGGTCAAGATAAAGATCGTTTCATAAGTGAAGGAAAGAGAAAAATCAACTGATGCAAATGCAGCCACTTGCCCCTTCCCACAAGCACAACAATGCCTGGCCAGGTTCCAAGCAACAGCCTCCTGTAAGTCAGAGTCCCCTACCCTCATCATCCTCTGCCACAGTTTTCTGGTTGATCATGATGTTACATGGCATGGAATATCCCTTTGACCAATTTGAGTCACCTGGTCTGCCTGTGTTTTGCCTCACTTCTTGCGCACGCCGAGGCTACTCGCTGGGATGGGCAGAGGGAAAAAGAGAAAGCCTTGATGGTGTGCAAGCACTGCTGAGCAATAGCGAAAACATTGTTGTGTTAGCAATGCTATTTAGGCCACAAATCCAAAATACAGCACCATATAGGCTGCTATGTGGAAGGTGAACGCCATCCAAGCCAGACCCAGTACATGCCCACCTTTAAATAGCCCCAGTTCATATTTGAAGCCTAGCAGAAGTAATCTGGGCTCTTTTTATTTGCCATCACAAATCATTGTGATGACTTTTTGGGGATTTTTTTTGTTTCTTTTTCCAAGTGTAGTGTTTTTTTTTAAATGGATGTTGAGATCTTTAGTTACATGAGTTCAGGAGCCAGGTCAGAGCCTTAACTGCTTCCCAACAGCATGAACAGATTGAACTTCATTACCCTGAAGATGTTCAGCCAAGGCTGGACAGGTCCAGATCTCTCCAGGTCCCACCTCGCTCCCCCCAGGAGAGGAGGGAAGGATGAAGGAGGATTGAGACAGAGACTGGAGTACAGTGCTCCAAGACCCAGACTTTCCTCTATTAGGGGTGTCCGTGGTGCTTCTGAGAAGGCATCACTTCTGGTTTTCAAATTTTGGGGTGCAGGCACCTGGCCCTGGTTGTTGGCTGTTGTAGGCAGCATTATTTCATCTATGCCTAAAATCATTGACTGGTAATTGAAGAAAAGCAGTAAGTGTGACAGGAGATGTGATAGCATCCTAGGAGTCATCAATGCTGGCGTAAAACTTACTTATTTTTCAGTGATCCTGGGATAACACTGTTGTCTCTGTCACCTTATATGCAGTATTCAAATGGTTTAATACAGAAGATCGCAGTAGTGTGCCAGTAGCAGTCTTCTCCTGAATTCTCGCCCAGGGATCCAAATGTAAACTGGTGCTTTATTTTAATGTGCATTTTTGAAGGTGGATCATAAGACGTTAATGCCTTTATTGTAGCAAGTTCAGAAAGTACTTCGTCTTCGCTGCAGATCGGAAACAGTTGTTCATGAATGTGTGGAGAGATAGTGAGTTGGTTTTGTCTCAGCAAGAGCATAGTGATTTGGAATAGAACAAGGAGTTCCAGTAACTTAAACAGAAAAGCTATTCAGAAAATTCACAACTTTTTTCAGAAACCTGTGTTCAACATGAGCAGTGTTATACTTATTACACTTGAGATAAATATTGGATCTTTACATAAGGATTTGCAGTTGAAACAGAAGTCTGACCATCTCATCCAGAAACCACCTGGAAAATCTGCAGCATCCTTTTGTAAAGGGGTATTACTCATCAAGTTTTTTAATCACTTATATTCTCTCACCTGAGGTGAAATTCTGACCTAATTAAAGTTAATAGGCAATAACTGTTGAAACTGGCAGACCCAGAATTTCACCCATACTGTTTAGATGCTTTTAATTGGAGTATAGAAATAATTAGGGTATGAGAGATGACTGTGGTAGCAAAGATAGATAGGCAAAGCCATGAAAAGAAAATAGCAATGAATAATAACAGGCATAAAGAGATGATTTTTTTATCACATCTTTAATTTTTTTTAACTTTAGAAGAGAAAATATTGTATTAATTCAAATCTGAGATTTAAAAAATAAGTCAACTTAATTTTGCCCTTATGTGAATTATATTTAAGGATTAGTGTAATAAATAGCTGGGCAAAATTGGCTTCAGTTACAGTGTGGTTTCTATCTATAAGCAGGTCAGGTGTAGCAGGGATTGCAATGAGGCTGACTAGGTGTTTTCTCTAGAAGGATGTCTCTTGTTCAAGGTGACTATGTGCCAACCAAAGAATGCATAGGTGATAAATGAGAATTAATCAGAGATGACGTTTCCTTACTGTACCCTGGTTTTAGAACTTAGGCACTAGTATAGCCTGCAGTGTCAAAGAGGAGAATAAGCCAGAAGAACTAGCTCTTTTACATGGGCTGTAGTGGTCAGTAGCATTCATCAATTGGCTTCAATTATCTCCACTGATAAAGAGTGAATAATCAGCATGTTATTTACACCTATGAGGTTATTCTTTCTGCAGCATGACTACAAATGTCATCCAGAAGGGCCAGCTTTTGCAGAGTCCTACAAACCAGGAGTTAAAATAACTCCTTGAAATGGAACAATTTTAAAGCAAAGTAGCTTCTTTTCTGCTGTTAATAGATTTGCGTCTAGTTTTGGCTTTTTATTTCCCCAAATAGAAAGTTATTTAAAGTAGTTTGCAAACAGCTCAGTAGGTCACCTCAGAGCCAATTTATTTTAACATGACAAAAAATTATCTGTTTCCATAATACTATGTGTGGTCATAATGACTCATTTTATAAATTACAGCTGCCATTCATGTTTCCATCACTATTCTTTACAGTATAAATTGCATTTAAGAACAACTTGATGAGTTTTATTTCTAAATTAATTGTCTAGGAATCTGAACCACATCTCTGATTTTGTTGTTTCTAGCGAAAGCTTTATGTTACTGATTAATAATACTAACAAATAATAATCTCCATTGCAGAGTATTGCTGTTTTCCCCTGGTATTTATGTGATCAGACATTTTCATTATTTCTCATAAATATATACAAGATAGAGTTTTCAATAAATTTTTTGGAAAAAATTCTCCCACCTAATTGTTTTCCTTTCTCCCTCCTAGTCTGCTCCCAGTTTTCAAGAGGAGTCTTTGCTATTTTTGGATTCTATGACAAGAAGTCTGTAAATACCATAACATCATTCTGTGGGACTCTTCATGTCTCCTTCATAACTCCCAGCTTCCCAACAGATGGAACACATCCCTTTGTCATTCAGATGAGACCTGACCTCAAGGGAGCTCTTCTTAGTTTGATTGAATACTATCAGTGGACCAAGTTTGCATATTTGTATGACAGCGACAGAGGTAAGATGTGGTACTTTTTATCTGCATGCTGTTTGCTAGATGTATCTCACTGAAATGCTGAATTAGTATTAGAAAAGTAAATGAGGAAAGGAATATTTACCTGCAGCAAGTGTAAGTGTGAGCTTAAATTTAGAAATGAGCTTTGGAGACAGAAACAAAATTGTTTAAATGAGAAAATGAAATTATTACAGTATGTATTAATAGAATTGCAAGCATGTGTTGATAAACAATGTGAGATTAATCGCATGTTGTAAAACAGTTCCTATGAAATGTTTTTCTTTTTTTTTTTTTTTTCCAAAGAATCATCTAAGGAGGGAAAAAAAAAACATTTGAACATGAAGGGCAATCTGCTACCACAGATTAGTTCCACACATGCAAAATTGATAATTGAGCACCACACAAGCAAGAATCTTGGATGCAGTCCCTGCTTCTTTGGAGACTGTGTTTGATAAATACTCAAATTCCTCTCCTATATTGAGCTTAGATTTTTTGTTGTTGTTGTTGATAAACCCAAGTCCACTGCTTGTGAGCAATTTGCTCCACAGTACAGCATTCTCAAGTCCTATGCCTTGTTATGGCTGTAATAATAATAATATAACAATTTATGAACTGGGAAAAATCACTTGCAAATTACAGTATATCAGTTAGTTTTCTGAGAAGCAGCAGCATTATACAGAAGGGAGGTGTTTTTGGCTGCCCTTTCTGGAATTCCATTATTGTAATTCTGTTTTCAGGTTCTCCTCACCTAATAGTCTTCGTGTAACTTTTTTCTATTCTTACCTTCTCCTGTTCCTTTTAAAAAGCCCATTTTGTGGCTCACCTGCATGTTCATTGGTTAGTGCACATTAAATGGTAAGATGCCACTAGATTTAAAGGATGGTTATACCACACCATGGTTTGTTGAGTAACAAGGTGATGTTAGATTCTCTGCATTCTGATTCCATTTTATACATTATGCTGTTGGGAAGCTGAAGGGACCTCCTCAAGACAGTTCTTTGTCACTGTTGCAAGCACTGAAGTTTGAAAAAACTAGTACTGGTATGTTAGCCTCCAACAGTAATGTCATGTGGGATGATGAACCCTAAGCCCATTTCTCTGGCAGATCCTTTTCATATTCACATTAGAATCAGAAACATTCAATGCCTTTTTAGAAAGGACAGATGTAAAATTACTTGCTCAGCCAATACTCTGTCAATTAGCTAGCAGTGTGCAGTACGTGACCTGCATGTGATTTCTATTTAGGAAATACTGAAAAACACCTAGTTCTTCTCATGAGCTGCACCGGCTGAATCTGGCCTGGGATAACAGCATGAAATTGTTATTTGTAGTCACCCTTTGGTTATGCCTTTTTTTCTTATTTGTTTGTTTTAATTGTGTCAAGGCACCCCAGTGATAACAAGCTGCAAGGCATGAAGCTCCTACCTTTATGTGGAGTAAATCATTGCTCCTCAGTGCTCCCACTGATTGCACAAGGTTAACCTGCAGAGTCAAGCAGTTTGTAGTCAGCACCACTGACATCAAACCCTGACTACACAAGGTCCACAATTCCTCTAAACACTTTCGCATAAGTGTTAATGTAGTGACAGTGACGTATATTTAAGGAATGATATATAATTTAAAATGTTTCCAGCTTCAGATAAAAAAGGCAGAGAGACTTACTCTTCACAGAAGCTGTGAAAGCTAATAGGAATGAGTTTGATGACTTATTCCAAAAGAATCATTTATTGCTACTTTTACAGCTCCTCTGTGTTTAGGGGCTGACTGATTGAAGTGCAGGGCAATTTCGTATCTCATTCCTTTCTATAAGAAGTGAGGCCATTCCGTAGGTGCATGTCCAAGCTATTCCTGGCTTAATATGGCAGTTGCTGTCGTATAATGTGGATTGGTGTCCTTTACCTTCCTTGCCTCCTCTGTGTTGCCAGTACTAAACAGTGGGTTTTGGAAAAAGTAAGGACTTTATTGGAGGATTCTATATGTAACAGAATGGCTAATTTACTCAACCTCTGTTCAGTCCTCATTTTCACAGCTCACAGAATTAAGAGTTTGTCTCATGATAACCGAAAGAGGTTCAGGCACACGAGGTTCCCAAACAGACATATTCCTGCAGTTTAAAAAAAGCAACTGAAGTTGTTGGAGTTTTCTCTTGCAGAGTCCCATTTCTGTTACGACTCTCCAGATACTTCCATGTCTACAGAAGTATTGCTGTGAATGCTTTTTGTTTGTTTGTTTTTCATTCTTTTGCAATGTGTTATTGCTATCAGAATAAACTAAACTGTATGGGGATGACAAATCTGCCACCTATAAAAAGGAGGAAATCCAGGCAGCCATTTGACATCTCTGCAGAGAGCACCCCAAGAAAAGGGAGTCCCTACGAAAAATGGAACATCAGAGGAGTGAAATATAGAAACCCTTTGTAATAGTGTTAACATTAATAGCCCTTGTTAATTTATGCCTAACTGAGATTCTGTTTAACTCGGAGGAAAAGTATAGACAGATTGGAAGACCTGAAATCTACGGAATGAGATCTGAAACAATGATTCAGATTATAACTGTTTCCATTTGGGTTATTTTTTCGTTTTGTGGTTTGGGTTTTTTTTTTAGTTATTTTAAATTACCTTTTAAAGAATTATTTTGAAGTATAGACTTATTTTAGTGCTTTTTAATGTTTTGAGATATTCCCTACATTTTTTAGTTTGCTTACATTAATTATCTTTTTGTTTTAGCATGAATTCTCCACATTTATCTTTAACATGCTATAAATAGGTTATAAGTACCCTTGGACTGTAGTTATCTATAATTTTAAAATAAATATTCATTGCATGACATACAAAACTTCATATCCATCTTCTTTAAAGATGACATAGAAAAGCAGAACTATTTGAGAGAATAATTAAATTTATGCTTTTGGAAGCCTGCCATCTTCTACCTTTGATGATGACCAGTCTTGTATAGTGCCGTATGTCATTACCATTTTCCCTGATAAAACTGAATTGCTAAACACTGACCAATCTTAATGATGTATTTAGAAACTATGAGACGAATTAATTCTTAGTGCTTTCTTCCTACATTTATGGGCATAACCACTATCCATTCTCATGAGAGTTATACCTGAAGATTCCTTTACATACCAAGTCAGAAATTTGTCTCAAAGAAATGACACCTGGTGTTCTGTGGTTTCAGGGGAGATGAATGTGTAAAAATATCAATTGGCTTGTGAGAAAGTCTACTTTTCTTTTTTTCTGCAATACTATCTGCTTTCCTTAAAATTGCTCTCTAGAATTACGTAGAATTTTCTGGAAGGAATTCAAACATAATAAGTCTAATTCCTGTACTGCTGGAAATTGTTAAAATGGTATTTGTTGTATAGCAGACATTCATTTCCAGCAGTAATTTTCATGTTTCTGTACTCCATTATTTAATCCTTGAAAAGGAGAACCAGTCAAGTAAAATCTTCACTGATTTTACAATATAGCGTAGGCAGTTGCAGCTGTTACAACTTCCTGGCAGAAACATGCCAAAAGCATAAAACGGAAGCAAACTTCTGTAGACTGCTTGTAGGTGTTCGCATTGAGCCTACTTATCTATGTGGAAAAACATATCTTGGCTCATCGTCTTTCATAATCAGGGATATGACTGTAGGCAACAGAAATAACAACTCTCTTAGCACCACTGTAGAGCATGGGAATTTTGCCATAGACCTCAGTGAGATCCGGGTTTAAATACAGTACTGCTCAAGAGCCGAGAACAAATGCAGTTCAACAGCATTTCATAATAAGCAGCTGATCCTCTTGCTGTAATTGGATCACTTTTCTCCTAGAAGCCTGCTTTCCTAGCATGTGGAATTCCGGCAGTGGATCAGTGAAACTGGCAAAATCCCATTCTGAAGAAGATTGAAGCAAAATCAAAAGGTTGTCTTTACAAGGCTCTATCTGATTCCTTGCAGCGATATAAATAGAAATTTCATGCAATAAGAACTGATAGAGCCCCCTCATATCTTCATTTCTGAGTCCTAACAATGGGTGACAGGTCAAAC